CCAGGGGTCCTACTATCAAAGTTGGTCAGTAATGTAAAAATTATAATTTGTAATTTCTTAGTTATTATGGTATGAATAGTATCATTGATGTGTTTGGAGTTAGAAGTTCAGATGATATAAGACTTCCATATAAGCATAAAATCAAAAGTTTTATATCTTCTCTCAATACATTGCTTTCCTTTATTTTTTTTAACTCTCCTATCTTATACTAATAAACTCTAGTGGTTAGTGGGGTATTGGTTATACCTCGGGCTGTGGGCTGCAGTTGCTCCACTGGATAACAATAATACGTTCTTCTCCGGTAAAGTTACAGACAGTCTTGGAAACCCACAGGGGCTGTTCTGCTGTGTGTTATAGGGTTGCTATGAGTCAGAATTGATTCAAGGGAGTGGGTTTTGTTTTGGGGTTTTTTTGGTGGCAAAATGGCTTACTCGTTGAACTGTTAACTATAAGGTCAGCGATAGCAATCCAGCAGCAGCTCCGTGGGAGCCCTGGTTAGCTGAATGGTTACACTGAGAGCTGCTCATCCCAGGATTAGCAGTTGGAAATCACAAGCCACTTCACAGGAGAAAGAAAGGGGTTTCTCTCCTTGTAAAGCTGGCCTTGTAAACCAACAGAAGGAATTCTACCTTGTCTTACAGTATCATTATCAGTCAGAATTGATTAAGGGGCAGTGAATGTTTTGAATGGACCCTTATTGAACATTTTGATCAAAGATTCTATAGATGAACACTAATCAAAAGGGGGAGAATGCATATCAGAATTTAAAATTTTCATAGAATCCAGACTTTCTGGTGCCACCACACTGGATGAAACCCTCACAGTTTCCCAGAGGTGTGTTGAAACTTTGAAACAAAAATATCCTTTAAAGTCTTAAGACCAATTAATAGCTTAGTTTACCCAGTAAAGAGTGGCTCCCTTGAGCATTGTTCTCTTTTGAAAATCTTTCTATTTGAACTTAAATAGACAAACACATCTAAAAAGTTAATGTGTCAAGGTTATGTAAGTGGGAGAGGAACACATAAAAATAAGAAAGAAAGATTGGTTGCACAACTTGAATGCAATCAATGCCACTGAATTTTATATATAGAAATGGTTGAACTATATGTT